CCTCCCCAAACTTGGCTTTGAAACAATTCCTGCTGCAGTAAGGAAATCTGTTAATTAAAAAGCCAGCCGAACAGTAGAGTGGTAGACTACCTTGGTGGTGGCCAGGAAAGGCACAGCAAGGTGTCTAGACCTGGTTTAACTTTTAAACTGCCCTCAGTTCCTTGTCCTTGGATATAGTGGGGAGATAGCGATTAGCTTAAAATCAGAAGCAGCTGCTTCATCCCTTTGTGGCCCCCTCGCACCAGAGGGAAATAGGTGAGGGAGCAGCACTTGGGCCCAAGGCTTGTAAAGTCTGTTTCCAAATAAACTGCCAGAGGTGAATGTGTCACTTCCCATGCGTTGTTGGACTGTTGCTCCGATCAGCCATAGGCAGGATACCCAATGATGGGGGCTCACGGGGATGGCAGTCCATCATTGTCTGGAGGGCCACAGTTTCACCGTCTCTGCTGCAAACCACAGTTGAGTGCTGTGTCTGAACTAGCCTGACAGGTCTATGGGCGAGGGCTTCTGCTTTCCTTTCTTTCAGGGCAGACATTCAGCATCTAATCATGGCTGTATATTAGGCATGAATTAGCAATGGCATTGTGTGCATGTCCACATTCCTTTTAACAAGAATCCAGAGAGCTTTGGAAGAAAGAGGAAAAGCTTATGCAAATCAGGGACTGAAAACAAACAAATACCATAACACTTAGTCCATTACACAGTGTAAATGGGTGTTAAAAGCTGAGTGTGTGTAAATGCTTTTCTTTGAACAGTACTGTTGCATTGAAAGCCATTTATTCTCCCTTTCTGGTCATGCTTTGCATTCAGGGCAAACTGCATTCAGATGCAATTGCTGGGGACAGAAAGGGAGTAATTGCAGTGGAATTAACCTCTGACTTTTGTTTCTAAGAATAACCCTGATAAATCCACTCAACAGTAGGTTACCTGCTTACCTTTATGCAATGTAAATGCTTTTCTGTTCCACCTGCTTAAATGCAGCATTGGTAAATTAACCATTCTCTGCTCAAGAATCTGTCTTAGTAAATAGATGTGTATTTTCCATTATATTTCTTCTGTTCTTTGCTAAAATTATTATTTAAACACTTCTAAACAATATAGTGTTTTCAGACACTGAGGAATGAGAAAAGATTTGGGATCTGGATAAAATTAAGTGGCAGTCTTACAACGGCAATGAAATCCCTTTAAAGGTATTCCAGTGGATTACAGGAAAAAGTGACCATTGTAGAATGTGTGGGATCTGTACAGCAGTCGGTCGCACTGGGGGCCTGGTTCTCACACGCAAAGTACAGCCTTCCTGCCCCTGATTCTTCCCAGTTTGGCAGGCGCAGCAACCAAGCTGTCGGCGCTTGCCTTCCTGTCCCAGCAACTTTACTAACTGCTGCTGCTAATATTTGGAGTCCACCCCTTTGTTTCACCACCCTCATCCTGTTCTCAGGCCAGCCTCTGAGCTGTGCCCTTGCCACTGGCTGCCCGGCTCCCAAGGAAAAGCCTCTCCAGGGCAAAAGATGAGTCTCTCTCCTTGCCCTGTACCCAGGGCTGGGTCACCATTTCCCTTCATGTTTCCCTGCATGCTGTTAGGGAGACTCAGATACATCCTGGTAGAGAAAGGTTGCTTATATGTGCCTTTGTGATATAGAATCAAACCTGCCACATCTCTGCCCCTCTTTCTCAGAAAGATTTCCCCGTCTCAGGAGGAGCATGGGTGTAAGCCAGCGGAGTCCACTGGGGAAGCTGAGGAGAAGTGATGCTGGGTGATGAGATCTGCTCCCTGCCGCTGCCACAGCCCAAACCGAACTGTTCTGCCGGCTTCATTGCTGGGGAGTAAGGAAAGCAGATTGGCAGCAGAAGCCGAAAGTGAAGCGGTGATGGTGGGGACCGGGGGCATGTGTGCTTTCCTTTAGCCTTGACAGACGGGCCTAGAGGAAAGTGCCTCCACCCCGCCTTCACTGGGCAGGGCACGGGCAGGGGAGGCGAAAAGGGGCCAGCTCCTTCCCCTTGGGCATGTCTGTGCCTGCACCCTCCCCGCATTTCCCCACAAGGCTACCCAGGGGTGGGCCTCAGGGCAAAGGACCTCTGTCCCCCTCCCCTTGTTCTCTAGTGCCGCCACTCAGCTGAGCAGCAGGATGCGCAGCAAGGGGAGCCTGTGGCAGCAGCCCAGAAGTTCTGATGGGGCCCTTTTTGGCAGCTGTCATTCCCACTCCCCTCCTCTCAGTGCTTCCGCACAGTCCCCTGGGATACCGGTGGGAGGGTTGTGGGGAAGCGGGGAGGTGGTGCCTCAGGGTTACCTCTGTGCTGTGCCCGATGGTTTGCTGGGCAGAGCAAGGGCCCCAAGCCCTTGTCTGAACTGACCCACTGCATAGTTCTGCATGTTCTCCTGACCTGAGTGGTGAACAAGTCACAGTGAGGTGTCAGCCATGCTTTGTCTGCTGGTTGCGTGGCAGCCCAGTGTGCTCAGTTGCCCTGGCTGGTGCAGCTTCTGATGTCATCCAAGCCTAGCAAGGATGGGTTGTTCCCATTGGGTAACAAACCACTCCAAATGCCATAGGTTGTTTTAGGGTTTTGGGGTGGTTTGTTAACTGTGGCAGCAACTCACCCTTGCCAAGTTGCACCAGGTAGGGTAATTAGACAAATCAGCATGCGAGCAGCACATGGAGTGTGGTTAATAAGCCACTGTGGCTCACAATTTGACTGATGTAAATTCAGTTTCTGTTCCTAGAAATTTCAGCCAAATCAGAAACCAAGGCATTATCAATCTCTCCACTTCTGCACTTTATTCATTATGCTTTTGAAAGGATAGTGTCCTTCCCCACTGTCCACCTTAAATCTGTCTGTGTGTGTGTGCGCGCACGTGCACATTCATGCTGAAAGATAGTAAAGGAGTTTGTTTCAGTGCATGATAATAAAAAATTAACAATCATTGAAGCTGGCCAGGATTCAGGGAGCCAAAATAAGGGGACCAGTCCTAGATTTGTAGGGAGGGGCAAGGAGAAAGGGAGAAATGTGCTGAATTAAAAAGTGGGGTCCAGGAGCTAGGCCGGGAATGTGGAGGATTTCACTTAAAGGTTGCTGTCAAGGTGGTGCCCCAACCATCTGTGTACGCATGTGCCTGCCTGGTGCAAAAGACCCAAGATGAGTTTTTTCTCCCAGCCTTCCCTTCTTCTGTCCTCCTTAAAAAACTGTCAAACCACATGCTTTCAAAGCAAATCCCACTGAGCTGCATGAGGCTCAAGTAAGTATGCACAGGATTGTAGCCCTGCTAGTGGTCAGCTGGCTCGTATGGGTGGGGAGGTGGAAGAAAGAGAATGCGGATGCAAAGCTAAGTTGAGCAACAAACAAAATGTCACGTATTCAGTTAAAGTACGTTTTTCATTTGATTGTTCTGTGTCAATTTTAGTTAATTTAGATTTTAATGCAACGCTTACACCTTTTTTTGGCTGCCAGGGTGGCTTTTACTTGAAAAATAGTGACGACCCCTGCACAAGGGAGCAAATCCAATGAACTCGGTGTGTTTTGTTCAGAGCCACGCTTCACACTCTTCTCCCTTTCCACTGGGAAGGGGAAATCAATCCTAATGGTCAGAAATATTTTTGTTCACTATTAGAATGATGTTAGGGAATGATAATGTGGACTTGTCTCTTCTGTTCCTATTAGTAATATATTTAAATGAAAATATCTCCATGTTCATCCTCTGTGGTTTTCAGTGTGTCTGTTATACTGGGCTGCATGATTTCTGACACAAGGTATTGGATTGAAGGCAGGTGGTGAAATGCAGTGACAACAGAGAACATTAATTAAGATTGATGAAGGGTATATTTACATATTGCTGATTCCTGAGGATTTCAGTGAAAGTCAAGGATACCTGGCACAGTATTCCATCTTGCATGATAGTTAAATCTAAGATAGGATACGTATTTGCTAGTTAAGCCTTTCTGTACACTTTTTTGTATAGAAATGTGCAGTTTTTACTTGGTTATTCTGAGGATTGCTGGCATCTGTTCCCTAGAAAGCTTGTCTGTTTCAAAGGCATTGCTTATGCTCAGATAGAAGTCTTTCAAAACACTGCAAAATAGAGAGTTGGTCACCAAACTGGCATGCTAGTTGTGAGTGTGATTGCAGCATGAAATGTAGCCGCACAAATCTCAGTGCCTTGCTGGCTTGTCCCTGTGAAATTTCCATGATCTTTCCTGACACCACTTCGTCAGCATTTATAATGTCTTCTGTAAATTTGTCCGGGATTCAAGGAGCACTCACATAGTCCTTTAAAAAAAAAAGCCATAACAAAGTGCTGAGCAACAGCAAGACTTCTTCATTTTCTGCAATATCCAGCTATTCCATGATCTCTCTCTCTTGCTCTCTTTTAAAAAGGTAGCATTATTTCGTGGTTCTGTACTCCTGGTGTCTAGCACCAGAACGTGCACCTCCCTGGATTCTTTTTTTAACATGAGAAAGAGGAAATCCAAGTCTCTTTCTTCCCTCTCCACTAGCAGGGCTGCTCTCTCCAGCAGATTATGTGGAGATGGGATATTGCAGTACCAGCTAGTCAGGGCTGCCCAGATGTGTAGTCCTCCAGCTGTGACTGGACCGCAGTCACTTTGGCCCCTCCCCATCCGATGGAAGGTGCAGTTGAGCAGCCTCTTGGAGGGTCACATGTGTCGCCCTCCTGCTGCAAAAGACCTGCTTTTTTCTTCGCGCCAGAGCCTCAGCTAACATTAGCACTGCAAACACTTACGCTGGGCACAAAAGGGAACCTCGTGTCCAGGTACTGAAGGTGTTCCTATGGAATTGCAGATCTTGACAACTTTGTTAAAGATGATGTCTATGAATTCCCTTAATGATAGTCAAGTACAATAGTAAATCTAAGTGCTCCACAGAAATTCCACGGGGGAGGCAAAGTCCTGACAGTCGTTCCTGTAACCATACAGGCAATGAGGCCTTTAGATGCCTGTGCAAAGCCAGTCTGCAGTGAACTTAAATTGCCTTTGTCTTTTTCTTTTCAGCTGACATTATCTCTACAGTAGAATTCAACCACACAGGAGAATTACTAGCGACAGGGGACAAGGGGGGTCGCGTTGTAATATTTCAGCGTGAGCAGGAGGTAAGTGCTGGTGAATGCAAAAATTCCCATTTTTATCCTTTTAAAAGAAGCTTCCCGCTGCTTCCTAATCTTCGTGTGTCACTCTTCAACCTGCTTCTCTTCTAGCAAACTAAAAATTGCAAAAAAGGCCATTAACATCAATAGGCTGGTTTCTGTCTCAAAAAGCACCCTGCAAATGTCGTTTTTTCTGCATCCTTTTGCTTCCTTTAACAGTCATTGCAGGCTGAGAATCTAATGTAAACTGAACACTGCTGAAACATCATAAACTCAGAGAGACCCAATTGCCTGATTTGCCCAGTGTAATAACGCTTTCAAAGTCTTGCTTGTTGAATCATTAGCAGGACTTCCCACCCCTCACCTGCAGCATGTGCAGCTGTCTTCACTTTGCACGGGTGTGCATTGTTTCATTATGGTATATGCTGGTGCAGGGTCCTAAACACCAACAGTGATGCTCTCGATTTATGCCAGAGCATTAAAAAAAGAAAGAAAACAGGAGAAGTACACAAAGCTTTTACATATGACTAAATACCACAGTGGGAGCACGGCGTTGTCAGTAGTTATTTTGTTTGTATAATTGCTGACTGAACAGATGCGTTGTCTTCATTTTTTCATACAGTTGTGTATGACAGTGAAATAAATGGTGTTACATGTGCTGGATCATACACAGACGCATACACAGCTTGGACAGATAGGCTGTTTGTTCATGCGCCCTTCACTACTGCATGTGGTGCTTTGATGCAATATCTATCCCCTGCAAAAACCACACACGGATCGATAAACAGGTAGAGGAGTAGAACCAGGTGGAGCAGTCCTGTACTCTGGTTCTCACTTAATGTTCTTTCCATGATGGAAGATGGTCCGTGAGCCTGAAATGGCAAGCTGCCTAACCAGGCTGTGTGTGAACTGGCCTTCAGCAGTAGTTACATTCCTTGGACATAATGGCTGTTGGTTGTTCATAGATCACTGCTTCTTATGAAAAAGATGCCCCTAGGTCACAGTGGTAGCTGCTTTGTTTAGCAGTACCTATGATCAATTAAATGTTCCTGAAAAGAGTTCAAAAGTTATGTGCATTCTAAGTGATACATTGTGAAACCAGAAGTACTTATATGTGTGATGCACTGGGGATAGGAATTTGGAGAATTCTAACTTGGATACCCAGGGATGAATCAAGTAAGAGTTGGTTGTTCCTCAATATATTATACATGGATACAGTTCTAGATGTGCTCATAAAATCAGAGAATAACGGAATAGTAGAGTTGGAGGGGGCCATGAAGGCCATTGAGTCCAACCCCCTGCTGTTGCAGGACACCATCTTACTGAAACTCTTTGGCCTTTCAAATCTCTATCTGCATCATCAAAGGCTAAATATTGGGGCCATGATTCAGGCAGAATTTTATACTTTTAAGACCCATTGATTTATATGAGGTCATTAAGTGCATGCTCAAATATATCTTGTTACAATAAAAGTGCATAAGATTCCTGCTTTGTCCCCTTTTCTGTATTTTACCATGTGATCAAACTTGTACTTGAATGGGTACTGAAGTTTTTAAATTTAGAATCACATTATAAGATAGAGCAGAAGTTAATTGTTGTTGAAATATATGATGAAAAAAATATATCAAAGAAAACAAAAGCTTTTGTAAATATTTGCCTTAGCAGGCAGGGATCCTAGTGGATCAGGGAGAGGTCAGCATATGCATCATTGGCCCTTTAGGGAAGTGTTTTGTTCCAGATATAAAGAGTAAATGGAATTGTGGGGTGGGGGTGGGGGAATCTTAAAGTTCATGGGGCAGTTCCCAGGATATGGCTTCAAGTAAATGTTATTCTAATCTGACCCAGTCAGAGGAGATTTTGGCTCACCAAAAGCATCACTACATCAAAAAGGCAAGGATTCACAAAGATCCCATGATACAAAGCAAATGAGACTTCCATTTGTGTGTGCGTATGCACGAACTGGTTCAAACATGGAAGCTGGCTGCCATTTTCTCATCATTCCTCCTATCGAGGAGGAAGTCCAGGGGGATCACACAGCAAAATCTCAGTGTGAGCCAGACTGGACGCAACACTACTTATACCCAGCAGTGGCTTTGTTTGTTCTTGCAGGAACTAGGAAAGATATTGCTATAATTGTGGAACTGGTGGATGTCCACATATAACAGTGTACAGCTGCATTCAAGTTGAGGGATGTCTGTACTTGGGAGAAATAAGCAGCTGGCTTGCACGTGTGAACATGCTGTATGATGGGGCATCCAGATTCTGTGATTCAAAGGTGCTTTGCAATAGTGTTTATCAGCCCCTTTCAAGATGAAGCATCACTAACTTATACTGCACTTTCAGTTTAGGTATGGTAGTAATAATAGTCACAATCAACTCTGCTAAATATTTACAGGTTTGTAGGCAAAACCTGTTCATAGTGTATTGACCTGAATGAAGCCTATTCTACAGGTAAACCAAATAGGAGTTATCCTTTGATTTGAGGCATTATCGTGCCTTGCCAATTTGTCTTGGAGATAAATGATGGGAAGGCCTTCATTCATTCTTGAAACAGACTGAAACAAAGGTGCACTTTCTGCATCCTATCACCAGCATGCAGAGAAACTGACACGCGAGGAGAATGCATTGTGCAGGAAAGATCTCTTGTGTCTGCTTTGATATCTAAACTGTAATGTGTCACCATAATCAGACATTTCCCTGTCTTTTAACAATCCTCGGAGAACAAAAGAATCCATTGAGAATTTGCTAGCTCTGGCTCTTTTACGAATCCCTTCATTGTTTCTTTCCCCCTCCTGCAGAGCAAAAATCAGCCCCATCGCAGGGGAGAATATAATGTTTACAGCACATTCCAGAGCCATGAACCTGAGTTCGATTACCTGAAGAGCTTAGAGATAGAAGAGAAGATCAATAAAATACGATGGCTCCCACAGCAAAACGCAGCCTACTTCCTTCTCTCCACCAATGGTATGTGTGATGATGACAGGTCATTCTTTGCTTTCCAGCCAAATATCCTGCAATTCTTTTCTGGCTTGCAGTAATTCACACTTCTAATCCTTCTGCAAGGATGGTAGGTATTGCTTCGTTTCTTGTACAGTGCAGCCACTTTGTGAGTACACCAGACCTCACCGGGTGCTGAGACAGTTATGGCAGAAGTCAACAGTCTATTGACACCAGATCTCACTAGGAAATATGGAGTATGTTCATAAACATTGCAATACACACAGGTTTCCCATGGAAAATGGAAATCTCCTCACATTTTCCTACTTCTGTAACGGGCCCTGAAGCACATCCTGCAACTTACTCCACATCATTGGCAGTCCCTTGTGGGGTACAGAAAGGCACAAGCAGGCGACAGCAGACCACACAGAAGGCGGGACGGCCGTTTTCTGTGGCAGCCCTGTGTTTCTTGTAATGCATAGCTTTGCTTTCTGGCATGCAAATACTTTCAAGATGGAAGCCGAAGGCAGTTTTGTCATTTTCCATAAGAGTGGTGTGCTCTTGCTACTCAAAATACCCTCTCGCTAAAAGCCTCCTATCCATTGCCATAGGATTTTAAGAAACTGCCTTATGCCTCTGATTATTTTAAGAGGGTTTATTGCTTCAATTATTCTTTTTACTGTAATTTATCATGAACTTATCTTGTAAAGTACTTTGGGATTTAAAAATAAAAAAACAAGAGACTAACATGGAGTCCCTCCATGTATTGCTGACACTGAATGGCGATGGCTTGCCAAGGTTTCGGGAAGGGGTCTTTCCTGGTCTTAGCAGGAGATGCCAGGAAATGAACTTGGAACCACTGAGCAATGCTACCCACCTTTCACATTGCTCAAAAGTTATTTCCTTCCCTGTCACTCACCCTTCCAACCATACCCTCTTCCTCCTATCTGGCTCACGTCTGAAGCCTTGTTTGCACTGGTGCCAAATTGTGAAGGAGGCACTGAGAACAGATGGGCTTGGCTCACTCCTTAGACACCAGCTCATGTGCTGGTCACCCCCCCCCCCGCCCCACACACTGCTACATGCCTGCATGTGAAAGGTCCCTGTAGGAGAACAGATGTACACACATAGGATTTCCCACACACAGATGGAAACTCTAGTCAGTTGGTAATGGATTTTGCAGTGCTGTGAAAAACATTCCTCTCTGAGGAACTAGATAGGTACAAGCTGAGAAAAATGTATTGCTCTTAGGACCCAGTTCTGTACAGCTTTCTGTGAATCCTTTCTGAAAGAAATAACTTCAAATGAAGGCAGCACACTATTGCATTATGCCCCTTGGTCCAGTGCGCTTTGAAATTTCCACCTAGTTTTATTTAGGTATATATAGTATTGTGAAAACAGATGTCTTTGCCAGTGATGATTAGTGTACTCAAGAAGCATCATCTATAAGAACAGCAGTTCGTAGTTAACAGTTAAAGCAAGGTTGAATCCAATTTTGCAATAACTTTATGTAATGCTTATTCATACTCTGTAAGTACTGAAAAAATGGACATCAGTATCCTCTCTGAAAAATATGTATTACGCAACTTCAGGAGACTACACGATCCTGAGAAGTGATAAGAACCCTTTTTAAAGCAGCTGCCAAAGATGCTACGGAACCTGTATCTGGGGGAAATCCACCTAAGCAGCAAAGAGAGGGAAGCAAAGGAGTTCGCCCTGAGTATGTTAAGGCAAAGATGACGGGACTTCCTCATTCCACTTCATTTGCGCAACTTCCTTTACGAGCTACAAGCCATATTGGCTTGCTGTGTTAACCCAGTCTCTCTCTGGGTTAGCACAGCAAGGTGTTAACCCTCCTTGGGTTGAACACCCTCAAGGTGAGGGTGTTCAAAGATAGGCTGGACATGCACATGGTGGGCATGTTGTGAGTGGAGCTGGCTGGAGCCAGAGGTCAGACTAGATGGCCCGGGTGGCCCTTCTGACTCGCTCTGTTTCTATGTTTCTCCTCTTTGCATTGCCACAAGTAGAGCAATGCAACAGGGAAGCACCTGGATCTCTCTCCTTACATTGAAGTGATGTGGCTGCTGGCTGGGTGACATCCAGCACATCTTAATCTACAAGAGAGAGAGCAAGCCGCCAGTGGTCATGGAGGAGCAAGTGGGTTTTCCTCTGGGCAAAGGTAAGGAGCAGGGCAGCTGAGGAAGTAGCAAGGAGTGGGTTCTTTCCACTAGATCTACCAAATCTTCCACTCTCTCCACATGGTTGCTTGGAGAGCTAGTCTTGCCTTTTGATAGCTCTGCAGCACATGTTCATTCTGTTCTATTTAGCCAACTGGAGGCAGGATGTCTTTGATAGAAGAAAACGATCCACACACTCCGGCTTTGTCCTGATACGCCACCAGGTTTAAACATGGTACTGCAGTGACTTTAATCTAGTGCCAACATCACTTAGGTTCTTGGCCCTCATGGCTATGCTGGGGAGACCAGGCAGAATTAAACTTCCCTGATATAATGGAGTATTCCTACTGTGTTTCAGTTTTCAGTTGTGCTAAGCTTATGCTTCATGTTATGTTCAGATAAATATCATGAGGATCTGGTGATGTTACTAGGATGAATGAAGCCTTAAGATGAATGTGACTTAATTACTACAGGGGGAAAAGGAGGGTCTAATTATCTTTCATAGTCAACTTACTTTGTGTTACAGAATTTACCCTATTGATCATTGTAATAAAATTCTGAGAGTTATTAAATTCATTTGAGGGGAAGACTCACTGAAACACAATGAAGATTAATTATGTAGCCTAATGTTCTGTTAATTGAGTTTTTAAATAGTTTTTTGATTAACAGGGGTATTATCTTTCTGTTCTGGAAAGTGCTTTCATATGCTTGGAAGACCTCTGATTCCAATTTCTCTTCCCCCTGTGATTTGCCTCCCAATATTCCTATGTTATTTCCAAAATCCCAAAATGTGTGGAATGCCCCTTACATTGAACAACAAAATTAGCTGGAGTCAACTGGAATTCCCAGAAACAGGGGTGGGATCAGAATGACGATGAATCAGATTGTCTTTAAAGGCTGGTGTGAGCGATGACAAACTGCTGTAGAACACCCTCCAGGAGGGGGAAAAGAAAACACCATTATTCAGAATAAAAGCCACATGTTCCTGAGGCTGTTTCCCTATAGGACTTCATGGCACACGATAAATGGGGTGACAGCAAAATGATGAAGCCAATGGAAATATCCACCTGCCAGACAAGCTGGCAATTGTGGAATTTAGCATGGATTCATAGTCAATGATAAAATGTCAGGTTTTATTCCTTTCACTGGGAGGAAGCAGTTGAAACTGACTTTTGAGTAAATTACAGACATGATTGGGCTCCTTTCTGGGTTGTACTTTGTCACCCCTTGCACTTGCAATGTAATCTGTCGCCATCAAAGCTTGGCTAAAGCAGTTAACTCTCGTGTAACTCTTAAATTGCTTTTATGGGACATCGTGCATGCTAGTTTTCTTGTCTAAGCTGTTCCTGCATCTTGGACCAAAGCAAAAATAATTTAGCTTGACATATGCAATGTGTGGGTTGCTCAGTTTTAGAGTCCTGATTACAAATAAGCAGCCTTTTGCAGACCGACACTGGAATCGAGCGCTGTGGATTACTGTTTCAAAATCTGGCTGAAATATTCAGAGACATGATGATTACGAAGCATAAAAGTTGTTCCTCATTTTGCCAAATGGCAAGAACAGCTGGCATGTGGGCCTGTAGGAGACCAGAGTAGTTCATAACTGTTTTGAAATAAGATCAAATGCCTTGCCCTACTAAGACCCCCTGCCTAGAGAATTGCATGTGCACTGAGTTTACTGTTGGATCAAAGTATAGTTACCTAAAAAGTTACTTTTGGCCTAATCCATCTGAAAAGTCAGTAGTTTCCTGGATAATAGCTGTAAATACAGGAAGAAAAAAATTCTGCATGAGCACCTTCCATGCATTAACAGTGAAAAAAATAGGGAAGGGATAAAGGTGAGAAAAATGGCCACAACTGGTTATTATTTCCCATTAAATGGAATGCTCCCATTGTAAGATTTTCCACATCTTTGAAAAGTTTGGAATATTCTGTTCACTTACCACACCCCAATTCAGAAATGTTTGACTTACGCCATGATTAATCCCATGACATCCCTGTTGTGTGACAGAAAGATGAGTTCAGTGTTCAAATGGTAATCAGTGTGTGTCAGGAGTCCTGCCCAGGGTGTGAACTGATGTCCTGAGGGATGTCAGGTGCGGATTCAGTCTGTGTGACTCCACTCAGCACCGGTTAAAGGAGGGGACTCAAGGGAGACAAGCAACACTAGCAAAGGAAGCATCCTCACTCCAGCAGGCCAAAGCCAGGCATGCAGTTTCTGCTCCAACCCATGCATTTCTGTTCACAAAGGAAGGAAGACAGCTTGCTTGGGGGAAGAGCAGACTTCGAATTTCTTATCCCAAATAGGAAGGCATTTCTTCTTAGTCCACTGATGTAGTGGCTGGGTTGCAAGATGACAATCCACAAAGGGTTTTGCATTGTGCAAATGCAGACCGGTTCCTGCACAGTGGCATACTCATGGGCAGCAAACCACCCTCACAAGCCGTGTGTTGTTCTAGGGGTTGTTCTACCCGGATTGAGTTGTCATGGCTGGTACCACCTGGGTGTCACCCGCTGTGATTGCTATTGTTTCAGGCTTGCCACAAATTTCTTTGCCATTTGCCTTTTTCTCTACCCCAGAGATCATGAAATCCCTGCCTTGGCAGCCACTGGTAGCCTCTTCAGCCCGAGTGGCACCGTGCAGGGTGATCAGTAACCAGCAAGCCTATTTCTTAAAAGCCTTTTGAATGCAGTGTGTACAAATGTGGCCATTTGGGCTTTTGCTGTCTTTAGTGGAACTTCTGCAACCGTGGAGGTGCACAGTTCCGCTAGCGTGGAAATTGGAAGTCACAGGTGGGACAGAGTCCCGAGGGGCACCTGCTGGCAAAGTACAGCAGTTGTCAACCCTGACCATTGACCCAAAGAGGCTCCAAATTGGGTGGGGTGGGGGTCTGCCCTTTGCTTTCTTTTCACCACTGTCAAAAAGCAAGCAAGCAAAGGCACAAGTGGTCTGTCCTCACAAAAAATGGGTGGCAAGATTTATACCCCCTTTGCAGCATGATCCTCATTTTTTTAAATCCTAACAAGCTTAACCCTGGCACTTCTTGCCAGGGAGATGCCACTGTACATTCCACCCTCTTCTTGGGGAGAAGAGGAACATGGACAGCCACTTGTCAGAACTCTGGGTCCCCTTTGGAAGGAGCATTTGAGCTTGAGGCAAAGGGGATCTTTTGGTAAGAGATCTGCACAGCTAGGTGGATATGTGTATATGCTCTATTCAGAAGCCACCTTTGACACATTCCTTTTAGGGGGGCTCTTCTCTAAAAGCCACTGTTGTAGACTTACCTCTAATGGGGGGGGGTGCCCTAAGGAACAGGAAGGCTTCTGGATGTATGAACCTGACTTAGGCATTCCTGCAGCCATCTGAACACAAGCTGTGGAGACATTTCCTACCCAGGGCTGATGATTTTTTTTTTTTTTTTAACGGAACAAAACAGATGTATGCTGCTAAATCAATTTTATTCCATCACTGTAGAGCTTGAGTGCCCTACATACATCCAGTGTGTGCCATTTTCTCTCATGGAAAGAAAAAGAATAAGGGCAAAATGAAAACGGGACCAGCTCTTATGGAAAGCTGAATTTATCTTCGTTTGGAACCAGAGTCAGGGTGAAAGATTACTTTGTCCTGAAAAACAAACATGCATTAAGAATAACTTCATCAAGCTTCACTTTTTCTCCGTCTGGGATGCTCTGGAGGCTGCAGAGAATGCTTGTGATCCGGATACACCAAATATCCCAAATATCCTCTGCAGAGCTGCCCCAACCTCTTGGCTGTGTTGGTCAATGTAAACATTGGCCGATCCTGAGAGAAATGCGTGCTTTGGATGTCAGAGCAGTCTCCAGAGCATCTAGATTAGGAGTGGTAGGGAAAAGAACTGGCCAGAAAAGTTGCTCTGGGGCTTTAATTTAGGCAGCATTTGCTAATCATTGCTGAGAATATCATCAACACCAGAAGGAAATGAGCTGAAGAAAGAGAGGCAGAGAACACCAAAGTGGTCCTTGCTGGTTTAGGCTAGAGACTAGTAGCTTGGGAGGTCATTCTAATACACAATACATGTGCCTGGCTAAATTGAGTAAGGCTCACAGTGGTCTTACGTGGCCAAGTGTAGCCTCATGTCACATCTAAAAGGAGGAGTGGATGCCTTATCTGCTGCTGGGATGGGCAGCAGTGGACAACTGACAGAGTTCTTCATGTACCTTGTAGAGACTTTGAGGTGGTGGTGGAGGAATCCATCTGGATGTGAAGGAAAGAAGCAGCCGGAGGAAAGCTGGCTTCTTGTTGTTTGTTTTCTGTGTGGTATTTGAGGCCGAACAAAAACACAGCTAAGGATAGGGAAGAAACTTCCTTTCCCTCTGCTTGAACATCCTGAGATAAGGCTCAACCAGGCATAATTCTGTTGAGGAAAACCTCTTAAATCTCCTATCACTACATGTTCCTGTGCATGCTTCCCGCTGTTCTGGTTTGGGCTCAGGGAAAACCAGGATCCTTGCTAAAGGGGAGAAGCCCTCATACTCTGAACTAAAAATGAAATCAACCTTTTTTGTCATAGAGGAAGGTTCTTTCCCAAGCTGTCTGTCCTTCTCAGCTTGAAGGGGGAATATTAAGATCATACGCTTTGACCCATAAAAACTTTGGAGTTTTATCTTTGGTCTATGCAAGCAGACAGCCTGTAACTGCCTCCCCAGAGAAGCCCAGAACTTTCAAGGTTTTGGAAAGTGCATCTGATAAAGCAGTCCAGCAGAGAGAGGTTTGGATTTACACTTTTAATGACATCTTTTTTTCCCTTAACAATAAATTCTTTAGCCGCAATTTCCCATCTCTAAAATAACAGTGACAAAGTAACATTATAGCAAAAAGCTGCATGCGTGTAATGAGCTAAGTAAAATATATTTATTCATATATATAGAATTATCCCATAGTGTTCAATTCCTCACAGAAATTTCCTCTTAGAAATTTTAAAAATTGGATATATCTGTTTTCTTCCAGATAAAACTGTGAAACTATGGAAAGTCAGTGAACGAGACAAAAGACCAGAGGGCTACAATCTCAAAGATGAAGATGGACGGCTCCGAGACCCCTCCACAATTACCACACTACGGGTAGGGCAAATGAGACTTGGCTGCCTTTTTCTGCCAAAAGAAAAAAACTAGACTGTAACTCTTTATTTCTAGTAGCATGTATTATCTCACAACAAAGCAAAGCAAAGCAAAACAAAAGCAGCACTTCTGCCTGAAAGCCTGTGTTTGTTTACATATTGCATATAACTAGCACATACAAATTGTTAATTGCCAAAGTCATTGTCACATAATAATGTTTGATGATATGAAGAAGGTAGCTGTTCCTCGAGGCAGTCCTCCAAAAACATCTGTGAATTCTTTGGATTGTGGAGAATTTAGCACTGTAACGAGGTTTTTAGTAACAAGCACGTGCCTCTTTGGGATGCCAGCTAGCCTCAGTTTCGTGTGCTGGGACTTCTGCTTGGACTTGGGAGTCCACTAACTGGACATAAATAGGACAGAACTATCCATCATTCTAGACTGGATAAGAATAAAGACAGTTTCATATGCAGAGGTTTTCCTACACAGAGATTGTCTTGATGTAATACTTCCCTCAATGGAGTGCTGTTAGCGTGAAAAACATTTGCATTGTGGTTCACACAGCATTGATACGCTGCATGTGTAGCAAGATGTGCAAAGCGATAATAGATTCAAAAAAATAACACCTCCAACCTTGGCTGTAGAACGGCTTGGCTCCAAATAGCCAAGGAAAGGTTCTACCTAGAATAGGAGTTCCTGGATCAACAAGACCAAAAGTATGTCAGTGCCAACGGGATGGAAGGTCTGGCTGTTCCAGTGCTTGGCCCTCTCAAGAGAGTTAGGTGGCTGGTTTCAGTTGGTTAACTGAATACCCCTGCTGTGGATTGCATGATTTTCTTCCAGTGTCAGTCAATGGAGCTGTTGCTTTCTTTTTCTATGGAAGGAGCCCTTCAGTGAAAGAATGGCACTTCCCGTGGGGAACCGTGTGTGCTCTAGTCAGACTACTTGCCTGCTTAGGATCTGAAGCTGGATCCGTGGTGGTTTGGGTCTCTGTGTTCTCAAAGCATGCGTTCTTCACAGAAAGACCTTGTCTTTTGCCTCGTTACTACTGGCAGAAGAAGCTTTGAACTACAAAGTGTATGATGGCATATAAACCATGAAGACGCATTCTTTTCAGACTATTGTGAGATGTGCTTCCTAGTCCCATTACCCCATATTGTACAAAATGGCTGGTTTAGAACTGGCCATTAGGCCAGCATTTTTAATATGGATGCACAATATTAATTTTGAACAGTTTTATATGTGGTGTTACAATTACTCTGGCTCCATTTTATAGCTTCTGGTTTCTTTGCCTACCGGGCCAGCAAGGGCATTTAATAATCTCAGACAGCTAATTAATTCTCACTAAGAAACAAATGGCTTCCATATTGCATTGTCCCTTCTTGCTAGTAGTCACATTGTTCAAGGCTGAGTAAATGTTTTTGCTGTGCTACGTGTATGTTTGCTGTCATTCTGAGAGCCCATTAAAAGAATTTGTCAGAGATCCTGGATGTCTAGACCGTTATGTGCAATAGAAAAAGCTGGGCCAACTATTGCTGTTATCTTGTTTTGTGTCTCTTAAAGGCACTGTCAAAAGCATATGACTCAAAGGCTATCTCCTCTGTGTCTTAGTGCATTAGAGAAAATGGACCCAGTATGTAAGGCAAGCTCACAGTGCAGGGCCCTGAACTGGTATCCTTGCTTTGCCTGAATCTAAGTACGCATTTTCCACACACAGAAGTGCTTGTTTGGACCAGGGTGGTATTGTTATACTGACCCAATCCCACAGTAACCAGAAATTAGCTCACTGAATAAACTTCAAGACACACACAGTTGGAAACAACTCTCTTGACTCAAGTGGAATGTACTCCCGAGTAAAGCAATGTAAACTAGTGCTGCAAGAGATCTGATTGAACGGGAAGGAATGTACAAACCCTTTCAACTGCGCTTAGTAGGCAGCAGGTTGACTGCACTCCAGTCTGCTTATTGCTTTTAATGTTGTTGTTTTTTTTATTTGGATTTTTATCGGTTTCTGTGCAGTTGTGACAGACAGCCTATGTGCTGAGCATGTATTATACTGTAGGGTTGGTGTTCGATGGATCAGCATTTTGATAGCCTTTCCTGTTTAACATATATGCAAGTTAGAACCCAAGATCCCAGGCATTTAGGGTGCAGTATATACATCTAGGGGCAACTGTACCATGGGGCAAGGTGAGGCGATTGCCTTGGCAGCTGACGTTGGCTGCCATCAAGGATATTAGAGTGGAAGAGAGACAGAGCTGAATGAGATGCAATCCGCAATCCACTGAGGGCCACAAAGACTCAGATGTATGTATTATAGTGTTGCTAGACAAAAAAGAAGATGAATATGATAATAACACTTGCCTTCCCTGTGATTGATGTCACTGTATTATTGTATTTGGCTGTTGCCGTTTCAGATGCTCTGTAGGTTGTTCTAGGGCAACCTAATTTAATCTCCTTCTCCTGCTTTACTTTTTTGTCTATTTGTTATTCTGCTTTCATGGACCAGTGAGAGAGAATTTGGTTCACAGAATAAGTCTTGTCTAGTAAGATTCACTGCAAATACGACAGGCTCAGGAGTGAATGTAGGTTCGCTGTATGCACAATAGCCCAGCTTCTGTGTAGCGGGAGCAAGCAATGGCACAACTCCTCCTGCTGGCCGCTTCCGCTTTGCATTTTGTGTAGAAAAGAGCCCCATCCTATGCTGTTTGGGGCGACAGATCAACCTGGAACCCTGCGTTATTGTTTCAATTTAGAAACAAACCATGGGTCAAACCAGAAGCAGTCAGCAGGCAAGACATAGTATATGTGGTCATTCTTGCATAGCCCCCAAACTCATGGATTAAGCAACCCATGACTTGCCATTATGTTTGAACTGGGCCTGTATGTGTACAGGTAGAAATGTAGTTTTGAGAATTCCCTGATTGTAAGCTGCTTAGGAAACCCCAAACTGCACCACGCCTCCCCTATTGGTATGTTCCAGTATGTTCATCATGCCAGTATCCTAATATGTGACACTGAATCATTTGCCTTCTTCTAGTAGTTTTAAGGTCCCAACATGTGAGGCCTGAACACAGCAAATTTCTTCCTAAGGAAAATATTATGAGAGCCAGCCTGATGTGGTCATCAGAGTGTTAGACTGGGGACTCCTGTCGTGCGGCTGGCGCTCCTTCCCAACGAAAGCAATCACTCCAGTTGATGCTACAGAAGTCTTTATTCTGCACAGTATTACAATTACAGTCGTGTATGCTAGGAAGTTGTCCTCTCATTCTAATTAAGTTCAACTTACATGGTGCTTTTGAATTCTTCTGGGCCATCCTTCTGGGGGCGGGTCACTATGACTCCTCTCCCTGCATCGCTAAATCAATCTCGATTCTAATTGTCCCACTCTGCACATGCGTCTGCGGGAATGAGCATCCTCAACTGTTTCAACTACATTATCTCCTAAATTCCCATCCTCCATATCATCACCTGGTGCAGTTGTTTCCTCAACAACCACCAAATTGGTCTCTGTATGCTGTACTGTGTTGGCATCTCCCAGAATTTCCTTACCTCCTGTACTTTCATTCCCATCGTCTGTGCAGCTGGGGAGTAAAGCTTCTTCTGCTGGCACCAGAAATACACCTTCATCAACCCTCTGGTTCTCATGGGAAGTTTTCTCCTCTTGTGTGCACGCCAAGGACTCTTCTGAGTCTGTGCGCACGACGGCTCCATAGGTCTGGATTCTAACCAGTTCCTGCTTACCAAGTCTACTCGGTGACTTTGAGCCAGACACTCACTCTCAAACTAACATACCTCACAGCATTGTTGTTGTGAGGGTAACACTGAGGTATGAAATCCACCTTGGGATCCTCACAGGAGGAGAAAATGTGGGAGAGAAATACAACATAACAAGAATGATGACAACAGCAACATGAAAATAGGAACCTTTCACCTTTTCTTAAGACTAGAGAATCATCACAAGCTTCATGCACTGAATACTTTTAGACTGAGTTTTGATATCTGTGACAAAAGCAGATTTTGGTGTGAGCTGGTTCTGTAAATAGGCAAGGTATACACGTACACACACATATATATTATTTATGTGCATTTATTACCAGCACATCTGATTTCAGTTTGTGGGCTTTTTGGTGCCCCTTCCCTGAAAGACATGGTATATATTTAGGTTCCTTGTGACCTTTACTTTTCCTTAAGCTTATTTTAACAACCATTAAATTATCTGGTAGTTTGGGGCCTGTGAAGGTCAGAAAGTTAGAGGAGAAGCTGAGCAATGGAATACAAGGATTTTTCATGCCTGAGAGCTAGGTGATTTATCACTGTCAGATAGATCTCTCCCACTGACCAGGGTGAACTTTCCCTGAATGATGAGTATATACTGGGAAAAGTTATCAGGGTTCCTTCTTTTTGGCTACTGTATAGAAGCAATACACAGACCCTGGAACCAGTGTGGCTTTGTGGCTTACGAGATACCATTCATGACTCATTGGCAACCAAAGCCAATAATCAGTGAAAAGCAGTGGCGTGTCACAAAGCACACCCCTTCCAATGCTATGTTGGAGAGTTCGATGTGACTGTTTTAGCCCCTTAGCTGAGTGCTTTGCTGCTACAGTGTGTGTATGCGTGCAAGGGAAAGAGAGAGAATATTTTCAGGTGGGGGAAAGGAAATGATGCACCAGCCCCTCTCGTACAGGGGGGAACAACTTGTGGCCCTCCTTGTGATTTTGCCTAGAGTTCCCATGATCTATCACAATTGGCTGTGATAATAAGAATTGTGAGGCAACATACCTGAAGGGCCACATAGCTGCCTTGTTCGCATAGAAGATCCTGGAACAGAGTGGGAAGAAAATTAGGACCAGGGTTCCATGGAACACGAGGGTACAGTGCATGGGCAGCCCTTGAATGTCTGGTTTTAGTGTTCCTCTCCTTTTTGTTTTTTAAAGAAGCGTTTTTCTGCATCCAGTGTAACAAGGCAGGCTTTCACAATCATGTTGCCAATCACGTTC